TTGTCTTATGTAAAATATTCCTAGGACATCAAAATTGCAAAGTATTCTTTTTGTCATAGCCTTATTTTAAGGCAATTTTTATTAGTATTCTAGTTATTCTAGTAATTCTATGCATTATAGCATGTTCAATTGTTCCTTATAGTAATGTATATTCTTACTCTATATGGTATATGGTCAGGTATTTAAACCAGTTTGAGAAATTATTTTCTTCCAATAACTTTTGTAATTTTATTATTAATATAATAATTATATGTCATGTGAAACCGAGTCAAAGGCTTTTGCGATGTCAATAAAAATAGTCAGACATTTATCACCCTGGTCAAGCGCACCATAAATATAACTTGCAGCAAGTGAAGTATAATAAATTATGCATCATTAATCATTATAGTGTTTTCTCCAAAACCAAATTGGTTACTATATTAATACAATTTTGCGAAATTATAACATATTATACTAGTTGCAGCAGCTTTTTACCAAGTATCTCAAATATTTTGCAAATATTTGATATTAAAGCTATAAGGCGATAATTTGAAATATTAGTATTTAGTATAGCATTACCTGCTTTAAGAATACGAACAACTACAGATTGCTTATATTATATCTTTGGAAAAATGCCTATTTTAAAACTTAAATTAAATAGATATGTAAGAGATTTAATAATATAGATACAATTATTTTAAGTAACTTATTACAAGTTACCATATCAAAGCCGAGAGATTAACTAGGTATTTTTTAGTATTAAAATTGATTCATGGATTTTGGTCTGAAAATTCGTTAAATATATTATCATTAGAATACGAATTACAGTTTTTAAGTTTATTAATATAATCATTAGTTATCATTGTTATTAGAATATTTTACATTTATTTCTAATATTCTAATAGATATATATAGCTATTAACTATATCTATCTAGCTGAGCTGTTAGCGCCGACCTCTGTGAAAAAAATATTAAAAATATTTGCACATATTAAGACTGGTTCAACTATAAGTAAAAATTAAACATCTAAATATTTTCCTACAGGTTACTGGTTAGGTTCCTCAATTTCTAATAATATAAATTATAGATATACGAAATACTAATAGTATACGTCTTGTATACTTAGATGGGTAATTCCAAAGTCAAACTTGTTTATCGGTGAATCCGACGCGACCTCACCCCCGCTGACCTATTTATGCCGATAACAACAACGACCGTCTGACACACGACTGACGATCATTATAACCGCGAAGGCGCGAACGTTAAACGTTTATAAGTTTATAACACGCATTATTATTTATTATTTATTTCGACCATAGATGCGAAAGACTATTTTTTTATAGTGACTACTACTAAACTGATGAATAGTTATTTTGCGTAATACTGACAATACTATTATTTTTCTCTGTACAACACCGTAAGTCTGTAACGGTAACGGCATACCATATTTTATTTTTTGTAATTACAATTTATTGTTGTTTTTGGAATTACAATCATAGTACGAATTTACAATCCTAAACACTTATAAATAAAGCAAAGCATACGTGGTTTCTGAAGTTTCGTTGGAACAATTGTATATCACTATAAGGTAAGAATTTCGTATTTATCTTATAGCTATTGTAATTACCTTATATTAGAATATATTATATTTAAATATACTTATTATTATTTATTACGTATATTAGTTGCTTATTAATACCTACAGCTATATATTATTAATTATTATATTATATCAATAATAATATAATATGTACAATGTACTTCTATTATATTATTATAGTTAACTATAGGCTACATTTGTAATTTTCTATGTGCGTGTTTATTTTGTCTTAATATAATAAGTTATTCAGTATATATCGACGATCCCAAAGAAGAGTGTCGTAACTCACTTTTTACAAATGTTCAGGAGAAATAATATAAATATTCGAAAATATATTCTAATTTTAGATTTCAAAAATTATAGATTTTAAAAATATTTTTTTAATCATTCGGATCTTTGTTAAAATCCACTAATTTCATTTTCAGGTAACTCTTTTTGATGGCCAGTAGGTATAGTTAATACTGTTACTATGCCTATGTATCACATTTCTGTAATTATATAAGTTATTGTTAATATTTAAGTGTTTGTGTTTAATGTTCTAATGAAATTATTAAGATTAATAATTTCATACCTACTATTAATATTATTTTCTTATTATATTTTTATATTTCACTTTTTTTTTAATGAATTGCATCAAAAAGTTATTTCTAGTGGCCTAGTGCTTCTTAATAACAATAGCTAGGAAACTAGTTATTTTAAAATATACTTGGTAGGTATTCTTGTACCTATGCATTTTATTTTATTTGAATAATACCAAAACAATTTAAAACATGTCCAATATTGTTAGGTTAAATTATTTCATTTTAAAATTAGTTATTTACTTATTTAGCTAAATATTTCGAGGAGAATGTACAATTAAATATATTGTGGCAATTTTAAACTACATTGTTTAAATTAGGTAGATCCATCATTATAATATAATATGTATTTATACTATTTTATTATATTATTTTATTACATCAGTAATAATAGCTTTACATAAATTTAAAATTGTTTAATTAAATTTTATTATATTCCTTAATTGTATTTTATTTATTATGTAAGTTATTTTATACACGCAATACTAACTTATTCATTCATAAAAATACGCCTATAGGTACTCAGGTATTTAATATTTTTTGTTCTAAGTAATTTTTATCTTTCATAGTTTAAAATGATCAAGACTCCTGGTTACAGAACTAAACGTAGGAAAATTCAAAATGAATTAATGGCTTTAGGTGATTGGACTAACAGTCCATGTGAAGATGAATTATTTACACCTAATTCTGATACAGTATTACCTGTTGTATTACCTCAATTAAAAAGCCCATTGAATTTTAGCTTGGATAACAGTTTGGAGCAATTTATTCAATTTGTTCCTGAAAATTGTATTACTGACAAAAACCCTGTACTTCAAACTGTTACGACGTCTGATTCTATTAAACTAAAACAATCCAATTCAAATAGTAATAGTTATGAAGAAAATGTGATACAGTCTTTACAAGAGTGGGCCATCCAATGTAATGTTCATCAAAATACAGTTACTAAACTTTTAAAAATATTAAAACATAAAGCTAATTTATCATTCTTACCCGAAACCTGCTGAACACTACTTCATACTGAGTCGAGAAAATTAAGTGGTATACGAGAAGTGAATCCTGGTGTTTATTATCATTTTGGGTTATTTAATGGTATAATTAAGTATTCCTCTATAATTCTTAATGATGAATGCATAAAGATTGCTGTTGGAGTTGACGGGCTACCAATATCAAAAAGTAGTTCCGGTCAATTTTGGCCGATTTTGGCTTATATTGTTCCTTATCGTAATTATGTTTTCCCCATAGGAATATATTATGGTAATGAGAAGCCTCAAGATAGTAATGAATATCTTAAAGATTTTATTTCAGAAGTTATAGACTTAACAAATAATGGAATTATCATAAATAATGAAAAAAAAAAAATAATGATTGAAGTTATGTGTTGTGACGCTCCAGCTAAATCATTTTTATCAAGAGTTAAGGGGCATTCGGGCTTTTCCTCCTGTACTAGATGTTCACACGAGGGAGAATATATAAACAACCGTGTTTGTTTTCCATTTATTGAAACTGGTAATGAAATGAGAACTCATGAAGATTACTTACTTATGAGGAATGAAGAACATCATATTTCTTCTACAATATCATGTTTGGCTCTTATCCCCAATGTTGATGTAGTCAATTTATTTTGTCTAGACTATATGCACTTGGTATGTCTTGGTGTAATGAAAAAATTAATAAACATTTAGTTACAAAAAGGTCCTTTACATGTTCGTTTATCTAGTCATAAATCAAAACAGATTACTATTTCTCTCCTTAAAATTAGAAATTGCATTACTAATGATTTTGCACGAAAACCCAGAGGAATAGATGAAGTTAACCGATTTAAAGCAACTGAATTTCGTCAACTTCTTTTATATACTGGACCTATAGTGTTTAAAAATATTTTATCAAAAGACTGCTACCAACATTTTTTAACATTAAGTATTTCCATGAGAATACTTTTGAGTTCAGATCATGCTAAATATTCAGATTATGCTCATCAATTATTAAAATATTTTGTCAAAACTTTTCAACAAATTTATGGTTGCCATTATATATCACACAATGTACATGGGTTGTTACATTTAGTAGAAGATTATACAAGACATGGACCTCTTGATAATTGTAGCGCTTTTCCCTTCGAAAATTATATGAAAGAATTAAAAAAAATGCTCAGAAAAAATGAAAAACCATTACAACAAGTAGTTAGACGGTATAAAGAACAACAAAATGTTAGTACAATAATACAGTTAAAAGAAAATGATAAACTTAAGCTTAAAGTTAAAGAGCCTGATTGTTTTGTTTTAACATACAATAATGGAACTATTGTTAAAATTATCAATTTTCTACCAGATAATGAAATGTTTGTTGGCCATGCCTTTAAAAGTAAAGAAGATATGTTTATTAAACCATTGAAATCATCCAAACTTGATATATTTGTTGTCAAAAATCTTTCAGTAAATACAAGTGAATGGAAAATATCGGATGTTAAAAAAAAAATGATTGTATTTAATCTGGATAACATATTTACTGCTGTACCAATAATAAGATAAAAATATTCTATAGTATAATTATTAATGAATTAACATAATATTATTATAGTTATGTAAATATTATTTTTTTCTATTCAAATTAAATTTAGGATTAGCAGTAGGTTTTCATGTTACTGAATTAATAATGAATTAAACCTAATTTTTATAATGTTTGTACATACATGTTTTATTATTACGGTATAATATTTGTTATAAGATAGATTTTTATCCAGTATAATATAGTTTAAATAAGTTATATATTATGTATTATTTGTTAGTTTGTAATATTTTATTGTGATATTCAGAACTTCAATATTATTAATAGAGGTTTGGATTAACATAATACACTTTAATATGTATATGGAATAATAAAATAGTTAATTTTTTTAATTTTATAGTATGTGGATTGTTGTATTATTTAAAGACGATAGCACATTAGCTGCAGTACCAGAATTTTGGTTCATAAATGGCTACTGTGCATGGCCAAACAAATGTAGTACCAAGTATATTGAACGTCGAAAACAACCAAATGAATTGGAATTCAAGCAATATAAGGCCAAGATTTTGTTTAAAAAATATAGGTATTTTTTATTTTAATTTCCTAGATATCCATGTCATAACTAATAAAAAAAATATTATTATAGGTACTTATTTAGAAGCTAGAAAATTAGCAGAAGAAAATTCAGAAGCGTCATCTCTTGATAATGTATATGAAGATACTCGAAAAAAAAAATTTAAAAATTCTAAAAAATTAAGGAATGATCAAATTTCTAGTCCACCTACTCTTCAATCTGATGGTAAGTAATAATTTACAATAATCAAAATGAATTTATAATATTTCTATTCAGTAGATCTAGACCTATAATTAAGAATAATTAATACTATTATGTAACGCAGAATCTATGAATGAAAACGAAGATGACTCTGACTTTGACAAGACATTTAAGCCACTTAATATTCAATCTCCAAATAGCTCAACTTCTAGTCCGACTCTTATTTCAAACACAGAAATAGAAACTTATAATGTGGACAATTCATCAAAATATAAAAAAATTAAATTGAATCCTAGTAGTTCTTCAAAATCTAGCTTTACTGAATCATCATCACAGTCAAAGCAACAAATAGGATTAATGCCTCGTGGAAACCCAGAAGTATCAATAATTAATCATGAAATTAATAATGATCAATTGCAAAGTAATAATTTGTTATTTCTTACTTTTAAAGTTTCAAACAATTTTAATATCTATTAATTTCAATTAATGTTTCAGCATTTATGAAATTTACTTCACGAGCATTAACTAATATGAAATATGAAAATGAAGGGATTCAAAAACGTTTGGATATTATAACTACTTTGATTGAAAAAGTTGATGAAAAAATAGACAGTTCTCTTTCATTTTCAACAAACAATATATTGAACACTACTGCAGATTAACCTCTTGACATACGGAACGATATGTACTTTCAACAAGATGGTTGCCCAGCTCATAATGCTAAGATTGTAAAATCATTCTTAAATGACACATTTGGTAAAAAATGGATTGGAACAGTTGGTCTAATTTCCTGGCCTCCAAGGTCTCCAGATTTAACATGCCCAGACTTTTTCTTATGGGGTTATCTTAAAGATAAAGTGTATAAAACTGAATCTGTAGACATCAATGACATGAAAGAAAAAATAAAATCTGCATGTTTTAAATTGTCAAAAGAAACATTAAAAAATGCCACTGGACGAAAGTTAATGGAACGTTTCGAAAACTGTGTACTAGAAGCTGGACATCAATTTGAACACCTAATGCAATAGGTGTCTTTTAGTAAGATGCTTTAGTGATATGGTTTAACTTATAGATAATACACAATAAATAATTTAACGAGTACATTTTATTTAATTAATCATACATAAAGATCTTCATACCTACTTCTATAATCGAATAATTGGAATATAATCTTGTTGCGGTTGTGATTATTTGGTATTCATTGTAATATGTAATCTAATTTGATTGAACTGGATATAACAGAGATATAACTTTATTTCAATTATTCCTTCAATATTCTTTCTAAATGATAAACATAATATGTTTAAGCTTTTACAACTTTCATAAAAAAAATAAAAAAAACATTTCAATTAGGTACCTACCATAAATTAATTTTTAAATTATAAAGACTAGATTCTTGTGCAAATTGAAATTTTCACTTTGTAATTCCATATCTAAAATTGTATTGAATTTGTACCTATGTATTCGTAAATCTCTATGGATCGAAATCGATTAATTTTAATAGTTTTATTTTGCATAGCAAAAATGTGACAACTAACGATCATGATATACAAATACAATGTATAACCATTTGGCTATTATAGTATGAAAGCATGATAGTTAATTAACAAAATATTATAAATTAAATTAAATTATATTATGGGTGCCTATTAAACACAAATACATGAAATCAGTGCTCGAAATGGACCGGAACGCACCGGAACGCAGTTCCGGTTCACGACAAAAAAATTTTTAGCGTTCCGGTTCGTAAAAAAAATACGTTGGGTGAAGCCCCCAATTCTATGGTATGTACCTATTCCAAAAAAAAGCGTTCCGGTTCAGAAAATTTTCCATTTCGAGCACTGCATGAAATTGAATTTTGCATAGTTCAAAATTTTAATTGATTTTTAGGTATTTGGTGCACAAAAATCTGGTCTTGGTCTTTGGTAATACAATTTAATTTATAAGTAACTCATAAAGTAGTTAATAGGTTACTATAACTAAGGCTATTATCTATTTAAAAAATAACTACTTACTAAGGAAAAATTTCCTGCCAAAAATCAAACTTTCCAAATGGTTTTCTCACGATTAAATGATGGTTTGAACGTTTTTCTAGTAACAAATTCCCAGTAACAATATACAACTGTACGAGTACACACACTACGCGTTTGTCAGTTATTTAAATTTAAGTCATCAAATTAATTCGTTAACGGCGTTAACGGCTATTTTTATTTACACATATAGTATTTCAGTAAAAAATAAAAATAAAATAATTTTAAGGTTATAAATCATATCTTTAAACTTATATCACTATTATCATTGATAAAATAATTGAATAATACAAAACGCTATTATC